CTCCAGGCTCCCACACACATTAGATGCACTCTGTAGGTTTAGTTACAGTTAGTTACAGTGGGTGGGTTTATATTATTAAAGGGACACTCCAGGCTCCCACACACGTTAGGTGCACTGTGTAGGTTAGGTTACAGTTAGTTATACTGGGTGGGTTTATGTTATTAAAGAGGCAAAGGACCATAACCTCTACACACTATTGCAGTAATTGATCAAAAACTCCAAACACAATAACCGCCACAGTGTCTTGTAGTGGTTAGGTGCCTGGAGTGCCATGGCACCTCTCTTGTCCCCAATTCATGTACTCAAACCTTTGCTAATAGTTTGACTTCTTACAAGTGGTCCACTAGGCCAAAGTCTCTACCTCCCCAGCTTTCCAGAAGTGTACCCCGCCATCTTACCTAAGTTCTACACAATATCACCATACAATATATATACACAGGTAAGTTCCATTATAAGGGTCCAGATATAATCAACATCTGTTGTTCACATCAACCCATTGTCAATACAGCTAAATCTCTAAATCTAAGTACCTTTTTTCCTAAGGAAGCCTGTATCTCTGCAGTGTACGATGTGGAGTCCGTGGCAATGTACACAGATTTGGCATTGGCATTTTTTACCCAGCGAGTCACCGCACGTATGATTTCTTTGAGATCAGGTAGGCACATGTCCATGGTAAGGGTAGCCGCATTCTGTCTGTCGTATCCCACACACTGAGGGGACGCCATGAAATGTGAGCCAGCAGTCCCATCCTTCACCATATTGCAAGCATTTTTCTAAAGGCAGGAGATGATCGTGAACACAAGAAGTCAGTATCAATGTATCGCACTGAAAGCTCCCATCATACTGCTGCCGCTTAAAACACTCACCCAATCAGAACCAATCCGAAGATGAATGCCCACATAGGGTCTGATGAGCAAGGTCCGAATGTGTTCCTCTCCCTGTAGGGCCAACTTTTCTGACCATACCAAATATCTGTGCAAGGCACGGTGCTCCTCAAGGACTGGAAACTGGGCAGGTGCCCCTGGCATAGCAAGAACTGGATGCTGGGATGGGGGGAATCTGACAAAACAGAAGAAATTATTAAATACATGAATCATTTCTTACAAAAAAAGGTCTCCACTCCTTAAAGTTTCAAACATTGATGGGTGTTTTTTTTATTTTGTTGCTTGTTTGTTACTTTTGCAAGACAGGAAATCATCATAAAGGATTCCTGTATTTTCACAAAGCCACAGCCAGATAACTTGCTGGATAGGTATTCCAAGTAATTTGGGATAGGTAGATCTCATTTCCTTTAGCTTCAGTTTACAAATGGATGTTACCCCTTGAGGATCTTTGGGGTGCTTTAACAAAGGACCTTTCGATTTGCACATTCAACGCATGTATTACAGTGGGGGAAGAAAATGTTAAAGGAGAAGTGTAACATATTCTCTTACTCTTCTATTTTTACCTAAATCTGGTTTTCAATTCACTATTAAAGGGATATCCCCCCAGGGATTAAATTCATACTTGCTCTTCCACGCATCTTTGTAGTAGGAGCTGAAACTAATGCCATCAAACAGCTCAGATTTTATGAAGTCCACATGAAAATTATCCCAAAATGGTCCAAAAGGGTTTCCGTCCTAAAAAAGGAAAGCAAAACAATTCTAATCCTTAAAGGGAACTCCAAGCATCTCAATGTAATGAGTAGTTGATGTTAGTTATGCTGGGGATCAACTGCACATAACAAGATGAAGCGCATGCCTGTACCCTCTACCCTGAACCTTGTATGTAATAATATCTAAACAAAGGTATAGACAGATGATCATTGTTCGATATAGAATCTCATCAAATACGGACATCAAGACACCCCACATGTGAAAATCTTGTTTCATTTGATATAACCACAGACAATTACAAATCAGTTCTGTTTTTCTAACCAACCACTACATGAGTCCATCCCCTCTGCTCCAATGACCGAGATTACCTTCATAGGGCAAGTCTTTTTGTCCTGACTCCTCTGTGCTGCTGCTGCAAAACAATAGGCTATTCGCTGGTTTGATGGCCAGTGGTCAGGGGCAAGTTTCTCCATAAACTCCTCCAAGCTGACAACTCTGTGGAACTTCCTCAAAGGCTCCAACTGAAAATATTCTTTGAAAGGCACATGTACCTGGAGAAAGGAGTCTCATTAGTTTGGAAAAACGCTGCCTCAGAGGGGATATGATACCATTATACAAATATATTCGGGCCCAATACAAACCATTGTGTGGAAATCTATTCATAAACAGGGCTATACATAGGACACGAGGTCACGCATTTAGACTGGAAGAAAGGAGATTTCATCTAAGGCAAAGAAAAGGTTTCCTTTACAGTAAGAGCAATAAGGATATGGAATTCTCTGTCTGAAGAGTTGGTTTTATCAGAGTCCATATTTAAACAGCAATTGGATAAATACTTGCAAAAACATAACATACAGGGATATAATTTCGAATTAGTGGGGTTATAACTGCTTGATCCAAGGAGACATCTGACTGCTATTCTGGGGTCAAGAAGGAATTTTTTCCTAGTTTGTTGCAAAATTAGAAGCGCTTCCGACTGGGTTTTTGCCTTCTTTTGGATCAACAGCAAAAACATATGTGAGGAAGGCTGAACTTGATGGACGCAAGTCTCTTTTCAGCTATGTAACTATGTAACTATTATTTGCATGTAAGTGAAATACATGTGTAAGCAAGCCATGGGAGTCCCAATCGGGTTTTCACTATTACTTACGTTGGTGTAGGGAGGTTGATGATGATTGTACACAATCCATGGAGGGACTACAAGAGTACGATTTAACATCTTCGCAAAAGCTAAGGAGCCTAGGAAATGATCAGCCTGGTTCCCAAATCTTCCTGCAAGTAAACAAAAAGGAAGAATTATATGGAATGTTAGTTTTATTAAAATACACCTGTCAATGCGATTTATTTTTTCCCTGGCTCTGAGACCGATGGTTCAACAGGCCAAAAGAGGACCTGTTTCTACGGCTTCAATGGCCCCATCGTTTTTGGTTCTTTCTTAGTTGAAGATGAAGGGAGTACACAGTTACAGTTATTCGCTGAATTGTGAATTGTCAGGAATTAAAGGTGAAAGGGAATGTCAAGTTTAAGGTCAAAATAGCTGAATGGTAAAAATGAAATCTACTACACTGAACTAAAATTAGAAATTCACTTTTAAATTCCCAATAAGTCACGTTTTGGTGAACACATCTGCGAGGGTTATTCAATAAACTTCAACTTGTATTGATCGGATACCTACATTGAAAAATTCTCCAACCGAGCCATAGTTGAACCTTGCTAATGTAAGTCTGCATTTTTGCTGTTCTGATTTTTTTTTAAATCACTATAATTCAAACTTCTGTGAATAGGCCTGTGACTGTATATACGGCAGCTGGTATATGGACTGTAACGGACCGTTTTGCACACAAGATGTTAAAAACCGTTTAGGCGATATTCCCCTTTTCAGATGCACAGGCAGCTACTGCAATCACCAATCTACCGAACTACAAACACATGAATTCACCAATCTCCCGAACTTCAAACACATGAATTAACCAATCTCCTGAACTGCAAACACATGAAAACTCCAACTCCCGAACAGGAAACACACGAATGCTGTAAACAGCCGAACAGGAAAAATCATACGAACAGCTTACAGCTGGCAGTCGCACTGTAACAGCATACAATCCAATTCCCCCCAAGAACGACACTTCGTTTGAGGGTCAAGCAGAACTGATTTACTGGGGCTACCTGCCCGGCTTTTATGCAGGTCTCCCACCTGGTGGACACTCCCCTAGGGGACCAGATAGAAGACTGGGAAACATATTGGACATTGACCAATCGCAAGCTTACAATCCCACAATGCATCACAATCCCTCCTCTCTGTCCTGGAGATAATTGGGAAGTAATCCAATTATCTTCAAGGACAGAGGCAAAAGTCTTTCAGTATACGGCTGGGCTCCATGGCATAGCTATCTAGGGTAACACTGCTCACATATGGAAAATAAAAGGTTTTTAATGCAGGGCCATAGTCCAGCGACAAGTGGTGGGCAACCAGGCTCCTCCAGTTGGGAGGTTGGTTCTGCCACATGGACCATCTCAGTAGGTCTGCGATGTCCGGTAGGTTGAGAGCTGGACTAGAGACACGCCACACGACATCACACATATGCCACAGTTTCCTCCTGGTTTTAAAGGGTCAGTACCAGTCTATGGACAATCACACAATAGATGAAAGTGACTTTGTACTAAGATTGATGTAAAACCGTCAAGGAGAGAAGCACGCTACTACTAGCAGCATTTACAACGGGACCGATTACACAGGTTAATTATTTCTGCAGTGTCCACAATCCCAGAATCAAATCAAAAACCTTAAATAGGGAAATGTCCCAGCCTTTATGTTAAAGAAATGCATTGATTCTTCAGTTAACAAGACGCACCAAATCTTAAAGTTAATAGAAACTTTAGTACATTCGAACATTTTTGGCTGACAGTCAGAATTTCACATCATTGTTTTGCATACACAAATCTAACCATAAAGACGATATATTATCGTTGTTTTGATAAGTTTCCATTTTAGAGTAATTTATTATTAATGAATGGCGAGTTGGTCGATTTGATCCACTCTGACCTGCCAGTGCAGAAGGTGGCGAGCAGATACTAATGCTGCCAAGTTACACTTTAGACTGGAACCACATTCCAGCTTGCATATGATATAGCAATATTAACCCTGAATGCCAGCGCTGGTTTTCAGGAATGTAATCTAGGAAATCTCTTATAGCCATATGTAGATCTATCACAAATAACAAAAGTCACCAAAAAAAAGTGCTAATACATAATATAGACATTGTAATACATGACTATAAGATATTTTTTCATTGGAAGGCATAAAATAAGAGGTTACTCAGGGTTTTTATCTATTAAAGATAGAGAAAGAATTGGCTATAACAGTGGGAGCTAACCCTGGGTACCCCAATAATTGCAGACACCATGGTAACCAGCTGTAAATTGCCAAGAACCGTAGTCCAGAATGAGTGGAGTACCAGAGGTCCCCATTGCAGGTTATTATTTATATAGCGCCATCACATTCCGTAGCGCTGTACAATGGGATTATTATTTATATAGCGCCGTCACATTCCATAGCGCTGTACAATGGGATTATTAGTTATGTAGCGCCATCACATTCCGTAGCGCCGTACAATGGGATTATTATTTATATAGCGCCGCCGCATTCCGCAGCGCTGTACAATGGGATTATTTATATAGCGCCGCCACATTCCGTAGCGCCGTACAATGGGATTATTATTTATACAGCGCCATCACATTCCGTAGCGCCGTACAATGGGATTATTATTTATATAGCGCCGTCACATTCCGCAGCGCTGTACAATGGGATTATTATTTATGTAGCGCCGTCACATTCCGTAGCGCTGTACAATGGGATTATTATTTATATAGCGCCGTCACATTCCGTAGCGCTGTACAATGGGATTATTATTTATATAGCGCCGTCACATTCCGTAGCGCTGTACAATGAGATTATTATTTATATAGCGCCGTCACATTCCGTAGCGCTGTACAATGTGGGGCTGCCCGGGGTCTCACACTCACCCATGCAGGGGCAGTACAGCACATACCCGGCAGGATCCCATCCCCCCTCCGCCCCGATGACCGGGAGCAGCAGCAGAATGAGCCCCGCCGCGGACCCCATGACCTGCAGGCAGCCACACAACCGGAAGTGGATCGCTGGAGGCGGCCATCTTGCTAGTGGCAGATGCCAAGTTGGGTCGGACGGCGCCATCTTGGTGGAGGCAGTGCGGCCTCGATAAACTCCGGCTCGGCTGGTTGTCGCTGTATAGCGGGGTTTAGCGGAGTGATACAGGCTGGGCGATCTCGCCGCACTCTCCCCATACTGAAACGGGCGCTGTGTACGGAGAGCGCATCACGTGACCCGCCGGGCAGGAGGGCGCCCGGGTGACGTCACTCCCAGAATCCCCCGCGGAGTTTGGCTCTTTCCTGCGGCCTCAGGGGATAACGGAACCGGCGGGAAGCGGTAAAACGGGGGCGGGGTCTGTATAGCCTCTATTTACTGATATCCCAGTATTACCGAGTGTCCTAACTGCCCCCTCTACCCATAATACCCCACTACAACTGCCCCCTCCATAACATGTACCCATAATACCCCACTACAACTGCCCCCTCCATAACATGTACCCATAATGCCCCACTACAACTACCCCCTCCATAACATGTACCCATAATGCCCCACTACAACTACCCCTCCATAACATGTACCCACAATGCCCCACTACAACTACCCCCTCCATAACATGTACCCATAATGCCCCACTACAACTACCCCCTCCATAACATGTACCCATAATGCCCCACTACAACTGCCCCCTCCATAACATGTACCCATAATGCCCCACTACAACTACCCCCTCCATAACATGTACCCATAATACCCCACTACAACTACCCCCACCATTACCTCCACCCATAATACCCCACAACAACTATCCCCACCATTACCTCCACCCATAATACCCCACAACAACTATCCCCACCATTACCTCCACCCATAATACCCCACAACAACTACCCCTACCGTTACCTCCACCCATAATACCCCACAACAACTATCCCCACCATAACCTCCACCCATAATACCCCCACTACAGCTACCCCACCATTACCTCCACCCACCCATAATACCCCAACAACTACCCCCTCCATAACATGTACCCATAATACCCCACTACAACTACCCCCACCATTACCTCCACCCATAATACCCCACAACAACTATCCCCACCATTACCTCCACCCATAATACCCCACAACAACTATCCCCACCATTACCTCCACCCATAATACCCCACAACAACTACCCCTACCATTACCTCCACCCATAATACCCCACAACAACTATCCCCACCATAACCTCCACCCATAATACTCCAATACCCCACAACAACTACCCCCACCATTACCTCCACCCATAATACACCAATCACCACCATAACATCTACCCATAATACCTAAATACACCTACCTTTAGCATTACCTGTACCAATACACCTACCTCTACAACTACCTGTACCCATAATACCCCAATACACCTACCTCTACAACTACCTGTACCCATAATACCCCAATACACCTACCTCTACAACTACCTGTACCCATAATACCCCAATACACCTACCTCTACAACTACCTGTACCCACAATACCCCTGTAAATGTACCTCGAACACAGCCTGTACCCCCAACTGTTACTACCTACCTCATATTAAGTCTGTAACCCCAAATACTACTAACTACCTCTTATTAACTGCCTGTATCCCTAATAGCTACTACCTATCATAATCACAGCCTGTATCCCCAACTTACACTACCTTCCTCTTATTAACAGCCTGTATCCCTAAATACTACTACCTACCTATCATAATTACAGCCTGTATCCCCAACTAACATTATCTACCTCGCATTAACAGCCTGTACCCCCAAACACTACATACCTCTCATTAACACAGCATGTTACCCCAAATACCACCTACTTCTTAGTATCACAGCTTGCACCCCCCAACTACTCCTTACCTCATGACATCCACACAAGAAACACACAAATACTAAGAGCAGCCACATACAAAGATTTACAGGAATCCCTTCCACAAATATCACTGACAGCCCATGTACATACACAGCCCTTTATGAACCAACTCTACTCATGCACACAATATGACAGACGGTGGCACAGCACTAGAAAAAAAACGACACCCAGAACATGCATTTCTCAACAGTGGTGTCATTTAACCTTTGTTTCAATGAATTGATTTGTCTTGGATTTACCCGTGGAGTCTTATCCATTGCATAAACACTCCACAAGCAAATCACAGTAGGATCGATCTTCCAGGTACAGAGTAAAAGGCGTTTGATTCAATTGTAGCAGCTGTAAAGAGTTTGTGCACAAGTCTAAGTGCCGCTATAAACAATACAAGATTAAGAGTGCACATTTCTTATAGATAGTTTTCACAAATAATACATTGTACGTTTTTACTACATGGCACTTTCCGGACAGGCACCCACGTTCACACACTTTGAGTGGGTTATAATTTTGAACTGATTTAGAATTCTGAAATTCACACTTAAGTGAATAATGCTGACACTCGCAAACAAAACTAAAATCTCCATCTGCTGTTATTTTGTCCCAGTGTATCCTAATTTGCCGACATATGTACTTTTTGTTTTTTTGTTCTTCAGTATGAAAAATGGTGACTCAGTCATTATTGCGTCTCCCGGCAGGGTGACAAGGGAGATCACACAAGCAGGTGAGTTCGTTTTGCTATTTTCTTTTCTTTCTTTACAAAACATTTTGTGTATTCAGAGTGTAATATTTTGTTGTCGTGTTAATGAATGAACGAGCAGAGAGGTAAAAATAATATACCCACTGAGAGGCTGCATAATTCAAACTGACTCAACTGAAAGTAGATAGGCTAAACAGTCATCCCACCATTTAGAAACTGGTACAGTGAGGGGAAAAAAGTATTTTAGCCCATGCTGATTTAAGGGTCAAATACTTATTTCACTCATTGACATGCAAATCAATTTATAACTTTTTTGACATGCGTTTTTCTGGAATTTTTTATTTTTTTTTAATTCTGTCTCTCACTGTTAAAATACACCTACCATTAAAATTATAGACTGATCATTTCTGTCAGTGGATAAACATTCAAAAGCAGCAGGGGATCAAATACATTTTTCCCTCACTCTATGTGATTGGTTGGAACTTACTTTTGCAAATATGACATCCCCTTTCTTATCTTTTTATTTTTTTTAAATTAAAAAAAAAAATGTATGCAACATGAGGAAAGCATGCAAACTAGATATTGTCCTGTATAGGTAACAGGTAGAAGTTCTTAGTCCATACTTGTATCAACTTGTAGTTTTAGTTCTTTCTAAGGATCAAAATATGTTAACTCTGGTCCTTGCATCTGCACAGCTTTTTTTTATCTTGTTCAAAGCTTTATCTTGCTGTTTGTCCCACACAAATTAACTTGATTTCTTTAGAACGTGTCGCAATGGTGAGGTGACGTCAAAAAGGTTGGATGCAAATTTTGAGAGGTAGTTAACCATGCCTAGTGCTGTCTCAGTACTGTTCACCTTTGTCTTTCGGTTGGTTCCATGTCTTTCGCATGCAGGGAATTTTTTTTTTTTTTTTTATCAGGATCAGATTTTATTCAGTCAATTGTGAGGAGTTTCCCCAAGAGATTGCCAATCACGTATAAGGGTCTACATATATGACATACAGTTAACCATGTTTCTACAATAAAGTATGTACTTTCCATGAACTACCTGGTGGATTATTCTGATGAGTGTGGACTGTTTGGGATTAACCCAGCACCAATATTAGGATCTGGGATACATTTAATCATGTAAGTGCTCACATTGTCTTACATATTTTCCCCCGTAATTTCGCCTGTAAATTATAGACCTGTGAGCTTAACTTCTGTGGCTGGTAAAATATTTGAAAGGTTATTAAGGGATAATATTCAAGAATTCCTTGAGAAGAACATGGTTATCAGCAAAAATCAGCACGGTTTTATGAAGCACAGGTCATGTCAAACTAACTTGATTGCGTTCTACGAAGAAGTAAGTAGAAGTATAGATCAGGGTGTTGCAGTGGATGTGATCTATTTGGATTTTGCCAAGGCATTTGATACAGTTCCACACAGTAGATTAGTGTTCAAACTCAAGGAAATCGGTCTAGATGAAAATGCTTGTTCTTGGGTAAAACATTGGCTTAAAAACAGAGTACATTAATTTTTTCAAGCTGGACAGAGGTGGCAAGTGGTGTCCCTCAGGGGTCTGTTCTGGGACCCCTTCTATTTAACATGTTTATAAATGATCTTGAAGACAGCATTGATAGTCATGTTTCAGTGTTTGCAGATGACACAAAACTCTGTAAAATAATACAATGTGAGCAAGATATTACTTTGCTGCAGTGGGATTTAGATAGACTGGGGGACTGGGCACTCAAATGGCAGATGAAATTTAATGTTGAAAAATGCAAAGTTATGCACTTCGGCGTAAAGAATACACAAGCAATGTATACCCTTAATGGAAGCGAATTAGGGATAACAACACACGAAAAGGACTTGGGAATTGTTATAGACAACAAACTATGCAACAATGTGCAATGTCAATCAGCAGTGGCCAAGGCCAGTAAGGTATTGTCATGCATGAAAAAGGGCATTCATTCTCGGGACGAGAATATCATTTTGCCTCTTTATAAATCACTGGTAAGACCACATATTAAATATGCTGTGCAATTTTGGGCACCAGTTCTAAAGAAGGATATTATGGCACTAGAAAAAGTGCAGAGGCGGGCTACAAAATTAATAAAAGGAATGGAACATATCAGCTATGAAGAAAGGTTAACAAATTTAAACCTATTTAGTTTAGAAAAACGTCGCCTGAGAGGGGATATGATAACATTATACAAATATATTCGGGGCCAATACAAACCATTGTGTGGAAATCTATTCACAAACCGGACTTTACATAGGACACGAGGCCATGCGTTTAGACTGGAAGAAAGAAGATTTCGTCTAAGGCAAAGGAAAGGTTTTTTTACTGTAAGAACAATCAGGATGTGGAATTCTCTGCCTGAAGATGTGGTTTTATCAGAGTCCATACAGATGTTCAAACGGCTACTAGATGCATACTTGCAAAAACAGAATATTCAAAGATATAATCTTTCAATGTAGGGTAATAACTGCTTGATCCAAGGATCAATCTGACTGCCACTCTGGGGTCAAGAAGGATTTTTTTTCCTAGCTTGTTGCAAAATTGTGCTTCAAACTGGGTTTTTTTGCCGCCTTTTGGATCAACAGCAAAAAACAAATGTGAGGTAGGCTGAACTTGATGGACGCAAGTCTCTTTTCAGCCTATGTAACTATGTAACAAGTAACTGAAGAATATTGCTTGTTATTTTACTGAGATGCCCCAAGTAACTGACTTCTGTGGCACCAATTATGCAGAGCCAAGGTTTTCTGCTCTGCCAAGGTTTTCCTATAGATGAGAATCGATTATGACTGCTTCTCCATTTAAACCTTAATAAATTTAATCTATTTTCCTCTGAAATTCATCTTGGTCTGATATTATCCTAAAAGAAAGATGTTTGAACCCGTATCGCCCAAAGACTGTGTTGAAAGTAGTGAGTTTAGACGATTCTTCATTGAGCTTAATAGCCCAACATCCAGATCTAGCAACTAGCACACTAAAGTACTGAGCACCTGCTAGCTTGGGTGTGATTTCTTCAAGAGTAGGTAAAGGATATTGAGGTTGTTTGTCTTGCCTTATTGAGATCTCTCCGGTCTAGACATAGCCGTGGCTTTTCAGCAATAACAATGGAGTTAACCCAATTGGTAATCTATGTAACTTTAACGAGGACACCCTGCCTCTCCATGCTTTCGAGTTCTTCTTTAAAACAGCTGCGTAATGTGAGAGTGATGCATCTCAGTGGGTGCACTATTGGGGTTGCCTGTGGGTTTAAGTGTATGGTACACTCTCCAGGGAGTAAACCGAATCCTTTGAAGACGTCTGTGAATATCTCCATGATTGTTACATTACTCAGACTGCTTGCAATGGATAGTACCAGTTTGATGAGGTCAAAATCTATGCTGCTTTTTAGGCCTCTGATGGGAGGTGTATTCGTGTCAATGATGTAGAATGTCAGGAACATTTGAGTGTCTGGCATTTCAGGTCGCATTTGCCTTTAACTGCCAGTTGTACACCATCGTAGCCATATAGGTGGCTAGGTGATGGTTGCAGAGTGCACCTTGTGTCAGGAAAGTTACTTGCTTCCCAGTTCATTATGGTTGTAGGGACTCCAGCTGCATCCATGTAGATCAGGCATAGGCAACCTCCGGAACTCCAGATGTTTTGGACTACACCTCCCATGATGCTTTGCCAGCATTATGGGTGTAAGAGCACTATGGGGGATGTAGTCCACAACATCTGGAGTGTCAAAGGTTGCCTATCCCTGATGTAGATAGAAGAGGTTCTTTTCTTTCTGAGACCATGTAAAATTTGGTTGTCATGTTAGAGAAGCGTATGTACCAGTAAAGCTCTGATATCTGCTGTACATAAACAGGTGTCCATTTATTAAATACAACAGAGAAGCTGCATAATTAAAACTAACTCAACTGAAACTAGATACGGTAAACAGTCATCCCACAATTTGAACATTGCTACGTGATTGGTTGGAACTTACATATGCAAATAATACACAGAGTAACATTTTCACACATTAATCCCGTGTTAATAATCCTTCCTTCCATGTATCCCAGGTCTGAAAGAAAGGGGAACATTGGTGCAAATGGAGAAACACACATTTAGATCTACTGAGCGACAACTGCAATGAAGACATTTTTCTCTACAACTGTGAATCAAGAGGAGAGCACAGAGTGGAAACTGGTGGCCAGTCCGCTGGGAGAAAACCCATTGGCTCAGGGTGCAGCTATCAATGACACTTCAAGTCTTGTCATCCCAGGCTCGAGCCTACAGGAGAGCCCAGGCCTTAATGACCAGAAGCGTTTTGTCTGTCCCCAGCTGCTCTGTGCAAAAACCTTTTCATCAAAGTACAAGCTTTGCAGGTAACGTCACATCCAAATTGTTGGAAATGCAAAGTTAATTTCAAATTTTGGAGTTGTTACTATGCAGCGATATTAACATTGCTTTTTCTCTGGCTTTCAAACAGACAGCAGCTCTTGTTACTTCCTGGTTGCTTAGCTCAGTGAAGCTAAACTCAAGGGGCAGCAATTGCTCAGAGCATCTGCCTTGTGAAGACTTCTCATTGAGCTGCATTAGGTAGTCTGTGATTGGACACCCACAGAAAGTCTGGGCGGGGTTAGAAAAGGAGGGCTTGCAAAGGCCGCAGACAAGAGATGTGCAGTTTTTGCAAACTGTTTAAGATATAACCCCAATGAAAACAAAATTATAATTAAATGCATGAATGTTTTTAATTGGGGTATATCTTTTTTTTGGTATTTGGGCAGTGGAGTGTCTCATTTAGCCTCAGTTTTGCAGAGTTGGAGAATTTTTTCAGATAAACTATTTTTGACTACATTTTGCCATTCAGATTTCAAGTTTAGTCCATAACCATGATATACTTTTGATATACCTAACTGTCTATCTATATAAATATTTGGGATTTTGTGGCATTACAAATTCCTCAGAACTATATATCTCCTTACTTCTGATCCATCCACATATCATAACAAATAATATTTTCATCTTTATAAACCATTTTAAAAATGGCATTGTGCCAAATAAAAGTTAGTGAGGCAAACATAGAGTCCATTTGGGTTATGTTAGAATTTGGTAATCACACAGTAACTCATGTAGGTATGATTTATAGGCCCCCAGGGCAAATAGAAGAGTTAGATAATCTACTAGTTGAGGAAATAGCTAAAATGACAATGAAGGGTTAAGTTATCATCATGGGTGACTTTAATTTTCCTGATGTGAACTGGAAAACCAAAATAGCTGCTTGTGCCAGGAGCACACATATTCTAAACTCCCTACTGAGGAGTAGGGAGTTTAGAACAAGTGGTTGAGGAGCCAACTCGTAAAGAGGCCATACTAGATTTAGTGTTAACAAATGGAGATTTGGTATCCGATATTACTGTAGGTGTAAGTTTGGGATCCAGTGATCATCAGTCAGTGTGGTTTAATATAAGAACAGAGACACAATGGAATCCAAGAGAAATGGGATTATTTAAAAGTTACACTGCTGAAGGCAATAGAAAATTGCATTAGGCTTGTCAGTAAAAGCAAAAACTTTAAAGGGACAGTATAGTCACCAGAACTACAGCTTAATGTAGTTGTTCTGGTGAGTATAATAGCTCCCTTCAGCCATTTTCATGTAAACACTGCCTTTTCAGAGAAAAGGCAATGTTTACATTGCCCCTAGAGACACCTCCAAGTGGCTACTTCTTAGATGGCCACTGGAGGGGCTTCCTGGCTCAGGGCTGCACAGTAAACAGCCCTGCCGTTCAGCGTCCCCACACTGCATGGAGACGCTGAATTGTGCTCATAGAGATGCATTGATTCAATGCATCTCTATGAGGTGGTCCTGATTGGCCAAAATGGCATTGGCCGCGCTCCCGTGCCAATTTTAGCCAATTTAATGCTTTTCCTATGGAAAAGCATTGGATTGGCTAAATATCGGCCATTTTGATGATGTCACAAAGGGGGTGGAGTTAGCGCCGACAGACCCGCGCGGCGCTGGAAATAAGGTGAGTTTTATACTTTTTATAGGGGGGGGCAAGCCACCTAACTGGCAGGTTAAACACTATAGGGTCAGGAATACATGTTTGTGTTCCTGACCCTATAGTGATCCTTTAAGAAACCACTGTGGTACTCTGCAGATGTGGCCCAAATAGTAAAAAACAAAAAGTTAGCATTTAGTAATTCTAAAAAAAAAAAAAAAACAACCCAGAGTGAGGAAGATAGACAGGTCTATAAGATTAGGCAGAAAGAGGCTAAGCAAGTTATAAGAGCTTCCATATCACACACAAGAGAAAATAGCACAGTCCGTAGAAAAGGGGGACAAAACATTTTTTTAGATACATAAATGAGAAAAGGAAAGTAAAACAAGGATTAGTTAGATTAAAAACAAAAGAAGGAAGGTATGTAGAAGAGGATAAAGGTCTAGCTGACTGCCTCAAAGAATATTTGTGTTCAGTATTTACAGACGAAAATGGAAAGAGGCCTCAGGAAAAAGGAAAAATTAGTCCTTTGTTACATGTGAGTTTACAGAGGAAGAGGTTCTGTTTCAACTGTCAAAGCAAAGACAAATGAGTCAATGGGGCCTGATGGAATACACCCAAAGTTATTAAAAGAGCTTAGTGGTGTACTAGCAAAACCATTAACGGATTTGTTTAACCAATCATAAACAGGAGTAGTCCAAGAAAATTGGTAGTTAGCAAATGTTGTGCCCATTCACAGGAAAGGTAGTAGGGAGGAGTCGGGCAACTATACGCCAGTAAGCCTTACTTCAGTAGTGGGAAAAGTAATGGAAACCATGTTAAAGGATAGGATTGTTGAACTTCTAAAATCACATTGATTTCAAGATAAGAGACAACATGGGTTTATTTCAGGGAGATCGTGTCAAACTAATCTTATTGATTTTTTTTATTTTTTTATTGGGTAACTAAAATAATAGATCAGGCTGGTGCAGTAGACATTGCTTACCTAGATTTCAGTAAGGCTTTTGACACTGTTGCACATAGAAGGATTATCAATAAACTGCAATCTTTAAATTTGGATTCCGATATTGTCGAATGGGTAAGGCAGTGGCCGAGTGACAGGCAACAGAGGGTTGCAGTCAATGGAATATATTCAAAGCTTGGACTTGTCACCAGTGGGGTACCTCAGGGATCTGTACTTGGACCTATTCTCTTTAATATTTTTATTAGTGATATTGCAGAAGGTGTTAATGGTAAGGTATGTATTTTTGCTGATGATATTAAGATATGTAACAGGGTTAATGTTCCAGGAGGGATAAGCCAAATGGCAATTGATTTAGGTAAACTAGAAAAATAGTTAGAGTTAAGGTATCTGACATTTAATTTGGATAATTGAAAGATAATGCATCTTGGACATAAAAACCCAAAGGCAGAATACAGAATATTTGATAGAGTCCTATCCTCAACATCTGAGGAAATGGATTTAGGGGTAATTATTTCAGATGACTTAAAGGTAGGCAGACAATGTAATAGAGCAGCAGGAAATGCTAGCAGAATTCTTGGTTGTATAGGGAGAGGTATTAGCAGTAGAAAGAGGGAAGTGCTCATGCCATTGTACAGAACACTGGTGAGACATCACTTGGAGTATTGTACACAGTACTGGAGACCGTATCTCCAAAAGGATATTGATACTTTAGAGAGAGTTCAGAGAAGGGCTACTAAACTGGTTCATGGATTGCAGGATAAAACTTACCAGGAGAGGTTAAAGGATCTTAACATGTATAGCTTGGAGGAAAGACGAGACAGGGGATATGATAGAAACATTTAAATATATAAAGGGAATCAACACAGTAAAGGAGGAGACTATATTTAAAAGAAGAAAAACTACCACAACAAGAGGACATAGTCTTAAATTAGAGGGGCAAAGGTTTAAAAATAATATCCGGAAGTATTACTTTACTGAGAGGGTAGTGGATGCATGGAATAGCCTTCCAGCTGAAGTGGTAGAGGTTAACACAGTGAAGGAGTTTAGGCATAAGGCTATCCTAGCTATAAGAGAAGGCCAGGGACTAATGAAAGTAGTAAGAAAATTGGACAGACTAGATGGGCCTAATGGTTCTTGTCTGCCGTCACATTCTATGTTTCTATGTTTACAACTTGGCAGTTGAACACTCCACAAAGAGACTGTGTTTAAATGTATGATTGATACAATGCAAGCCAACGATACATAGCAGGGGGCAAACAGACTTTGTATTAGTTTTACAACTAACCAGCAATGATTCAATACGACTAGAGAAAACAGTGCAGATTTTAATGTTAAACTATTACAATAAACCATCATTTAAGGTAGTGTAAAATAGAACACCTCAATAATTAGACTTCAGCTCAATCATTGTTCACTGTTTGTTTTTCTTGCTTCAGACATATGGCCACACACTCCATGCAGAAGTCTCATCAGTGCATACATTGTGGGAAAATGTTTCATAGAAAAGACCATCTGAAAAATCACCTCCAAACCCACAACCCCAATAAAGAAGCTCTGCAATGTCCAGAATGCAGCAAACACTACAGCACCAAGCATGGGCACCGCCGCCACTTAGCCTTGCACGCTGCCGCCAGCGGGGACCTAAGTTGCAAGCTTTGCCTGCAGGTCTTCAGAGACAGCCAGTCTGTGTTGGAACACCTGAAGAGTCACTCACGGAGAGCCTCTGGAGCCAGCAAGGAGAAGAAGTATCCCTGTGAGCACTGTGACAGGTGCTTCTACACCCGCAAAGATGTGAGGAGACACCTGGTGGTGCACACAGGGCGGAAGGACTTCCAGTGTCATTTTTGTGCTCAGAGATTTGGCCGCAAAGACCACCTGACCCGGCATTTGAAAAAGAGCCATTGTGAAGAGACGCCTCGCATTAAAATTGAGCCTCCTGACAACATGAGCTGCGGCTCAGCCATTGTAAAGGAAGAGTTTAGTTCCCTCATGTGTATGCAGCCCAGAGACCTCATGTCGGTGGGAATGTACACTTCTCCGTTCCAGGCCATGCCAAACACAAATGCTTCCCACTCTCTCATGCCAAATTCCATGCCAGTCGGGCTAAATTACCCCAATGAATGTACAGCCTCTGTTTCTACAAGTCTTTCACCTCGACCAACTTCTAGGGTCCCTCTCACATCTACCTCATACCCCCCCAAAAGTGAGATGGATGGCTTCTCGGACGGCTCTGGCTGCCTTTCCCTTTCCTCCACGGAGTTAACCTCTTCTATCACTCAGCCCCAAATGGATGAGGCACTTCTTTCTGTGTTATGTGACCCTCTGTCCACCAGCATTGACTTCAGCCATTTCTTCGGTTTTCTGCCTGTAAATCTCCCTCCTTGTAACATTCCTGTGTCTACTGCAGGCATGATCATGGGCTATCCTCAGGGAGACCCACAACAGCTTCTGACCACTCTCAACCACTCTCAGGCTCAAAACAACTCAGGGGCTGCGGGTCCTTCTCCACCCCCCCTCTTTACCTCAGACTTTAGTAGCAGCATACTGCCTCGGTTTCACCAAGCCTTCAAGTAAACATGGTGTGACCAGCATTTACCTCGAAAAGCCTTAGGACGCTTCTTGCCATCTCATGTAGGAAGATTGGGTGAATCTAGCAATGGCCCTAAACATTCAGCAACCACAGACCGACAGTCCAGTTTGTCCTCTTCCTACTGTTGCACAGTAACAGGTGGCAGAGATTTACTTACCTCAGGATCACAAAGACTGCAGCCCTCCAGCTCAATTGGGGGCAAAAACCCAACAATGTGAAAACAGTGGCAATAGCAGCAGAGGTTGGACAGATATGAATCGAGTTGGCGCATCGCCCACCGTGCCTACAACTTGACGAAAGTTCCATGTCACCTTTTTTTAGAATAGCCTTTCTCACTAACCAAGCCTGGTCACTAGGCAGGTGGCTATGGGAACTTTGTCATCTGACCTTCAGAGACACAACATTTACATCCTCTGTTACTGTATCACTGTATCAGTGTCCTATTACATATCCAGCAGGGGAAGCCATCCCCCGAATCTGTTACATGTGAGATAAGGGATACTCCTCTCTGAAATCAGTTTGTTCTGATTTAGAGATCTTTCATGTCCACTCACTTCCTATCTAACATTACCTCGTGATGCATTTTGAAAGAACCAGTGGTGTAAGATGTATACGTGATTCCGACTTTCCAAAATTAGATGCTCATTTCATAGATCATGCCAAATTCAGAGTATCTGTTCAGTTTTCCCCCATGGGGATTCAAATACGAAGGCCTTGTCATATAATCTACAATCTAAGATCCCCAGGTGGATTTACAAGTTTACTCACCCCAGCAAAACCTGGTGTGTAATAACTGATCTTCCATAGTGCATTATACCAAACCTTGGCCTAGAGCCTATTTAGCAGGCTTGCAGCAGCACACTACATACCACCCGTTGTATCTAGAATATTTCCTGCTCTGGTCACTAGTTGATTGAGCAATGTGTCACTCACCACTTTGGCACTTGGCAAGAGTTTGTTTGTTTGTTTTTAAAAGTAGCTGATATAGACATTGCAATGTTTTGTAAAGTTTTACAAATCTCAAAATAATGTTCCGTTCTATCACAAACCTAAACACAAAGGATTTAGGTTGCAAATATATTATAAGCTGTGAGAGATATTGTGATACGGAATGGTAAAATCATGCGTCTTGCCTCTCCGCCAAAATGTTTGTGGCTTGTGAAAACCTTCATGTGGCAGATGAGCAAGTAATAAATTGTTACATTTATATATTTTTATTGTAGGGAGAGAGGAAAAAGAAAAACTTCACTTAAGTGCAACTTATGTTTAAATACTTTTTATCTTTTAATGTCTAACACCTCAAAGGTCAGTGAGCTGGCTTCCTGTGAGCTAGAAAGTTACAGCGGTGCTATTAATCCCCCTTGTTTGCAGAGCAAACTATCCCTCATGCTTGCCAGATGAGAACATGCCACTCACAGTAGCAATGCTAACCTCCATTTTTATACCCTAGACCTTATGATTTTTTTTCATTCAATTCATTATGCCTTATGATATGAACATTTTTCTTGCCAGCAGTTGAAGCACTGGCCAGTCATGTTAATATGGTAACTCTGCTGTTCTTAAAGTGACTCCCAATTTCTTGTGCGAGCTTAGCTCGTTAGGTAGTTGGCACTTCCTGTGCAGGGACCAGACATTTATCTTAGCTCTTTTTTTTTTTCTTTCTTTCTTTCTTTAGATCGCACTTGTAATGAGGACATTGTTGTAAAACGCATAGCACTTAATAGAATACATATTGAAATTGGAGGTGTTGGTACAGGTCATCTGTCTGAGCTTTCAGCACTATGGTGGCCTGTTTATGGTATTTAAACTGAGCATCATAGGAATATAATGCACAACTGCTGGAGTTTAGGTTAGCCTTGACTGTTTTAGCACACAGATGGTTAAGTAGATCTCCAGATCTTGCTAAACCCAGCTTCATTAATCCTCTGCTAATATCTTCTGGCAAACATATTATAAATAATTAGCTGTAGTAGTGCAGCGGGCCGATCTATATCCTCAAGATACAGGGGGGAAACAAATCCTCTCAGTTTGACCTCATTTTAGCTTTAAGCCTGCAGCTACCAGTTGAGTCAGAAGCTTTGCATGGGAGACAATATAATAAGCAAGAATCTTGGCTTATAATAATTAAAGGGACAGTAAAGCCAAAAGCTGACATGGACATATGATGAAAACTAAAATTTTCCCACTTGTCTATGAATTTCTGTGCTATTATAGTGTGTACCAGGCTCCCCAATTCTATTCTGTCTTTTCCATGAAGACCTGTCTAACAGGCTTCCATGCTGTAGGTGCGGATAGGTTGCTAAACTCTGTTGTTGCTGTTATAACATCAGGAGTGTCTGTGAACACTCTATATACACACCAGTGTATGTACACTAAATTGCATATACAGATCCTCTGATGGTCAGTTTAATCACTGCCTTGATGACAACAGAGGAAGCCAGGCAGTGAGTACACAAGCAGTATTTTCACACACTACTCAAAAACACAATCTCCTCGGACAGGGAAGAAAATCAGTTTTATTCAATCATGCTAGAGATGATAAAAAAAACAAACAAATGCTGGAATGCTCCCTTAATTAATGTTTAGGTCTGACCTATTTGTGTATCAGCACTAAAACCTGTTGCACTCCCTTTCTGTATAAATATGTTGAAATGCAGGGGTGTTAATGGAAGTGTTCAGGAAAGGTGATGTTTTAAAGGGACAGTATCATACCAAGCATGCCAATCCCCTCTTTTTATATTGGTGCTGCTAATTTATCTATACATTGTGCTAGCAAATGTATCGATATAAACTTTGTTTTTTTTTTAATATTTGTGTACATACAGGTACACATAATTACTACAAAGATGGCCGTTGAAAAACGGAAGCAAAAAGCGATGTGCTCTGCCACATGGTGTACTTTGTGGACCTGCATGCACTTAAATTGCAGAATTTTCCGTTCCTGGCAGACATCTTTGCAGACATAGATGGAATCTTTAGGTAAATGTATGGTTTAATCTATATATTTGCTACCAATTTAGCCAGCAATATCTGTGGGAGTATACGTGTACCTACTTGAAAATGAATTTGCATCCACTTAGCATGTGGGAATTAGAGTGCCTTTAACCCGGATATTTGTCTCACTGCCCTTCCTCTTGCGCAGCGGACCAATTACCTCCTAGCACTTTCATATCCATAGTTTGGTTTTAATATATGCCGTTTCTGGAATTGTTTTATTTTGTATTAAGGGAGCGAGGGCCCAACTCCTAAAAGGCTCAGCATCGTTCCAGTGTATTAATATGGATTTTGGTTTACAGTGTGAAGCTTACTAAATAAACGTTCAATAGTGTTTAAAGTTCATAGCTGGTCTTGTTTTGTTTAAGGGATCTAAGAAAGTATACTTTTTATCCACACAAAATAAAGTGAAATTAATTCTCCAGTATTCAGAAAGAGCTGACTTTTTCACTAAACAGTGACATTGTAGCTGGAAAAAAAGAATCAAGATGGCCACTTCCAATTTTGGAAGTCTGTTAAATCCCAATGCTCTTGAGTGAATAGAAATTTATAAGGTTACATGTTTTGCCAGAAAACTCCAGTGAATATTTGATGCTAATTAGGGATAATAAACTTGTTGTTATCCTTAATTATGATCTCAAGACATTGATTGTTACAGATTCAGGTACCGTAGGCTTATTAGGGGAGTCAAAGAGCAAAATTCAGGGCACTGACCACTTCCCCCAATATCAAACCAAAATAATTATATCAACATGACAGTATGGAGCGAGATATTGAATAAACTAATACAATGGGTATTGCAGTTTTCTTCCATGCCGATGCCCAGAAAGACAGGAAAAGTACAGATACCTGAACCGCTTCTCAGCTTTAACATGAGAGTCCTACTTGGTGCTGGAGGTGGAAGTGTCAGACAGCCCCTAGAGTAGCATTTAGCCCCTCAATATAAACATGGCTGTTTCTGCGAATCGGCAGTGTTTTACATTGCAGGGCGACTGAGGTTAAGTGATTTGGGTGCCTTTAAATGTTATTCAGGTGGTCCTATGAACAAAATGTCTTCTGAAACATCTTTTAATCAGCTCAAGATAGCCCTAGGCTTAGAAGCCAGACTGTTGGTGACAATTCTGTATATGAATATCCTCACAACTGGATTTTTTTTTTTTTTTTTTTTTAATTAAAGCTTATATTGACACACTAATCTAAAATAGACATGTATTCCTACTTTATACAAAAACAGGTTCTTCAGTACTTAGTTGATGAAGATGTCTAGTTTGTATTGTCTGTTTCCCTTCACGATGGAAGTTTTTTTTTGTTTTTTTTAAAGTGTATTAAAACATTTGAATAGCAAACAAACAAAAATACACCTATGGCATTCCTGTATTAGGTGAAAATTTCTACGTATTGTAAATTCTAACATGAGCAAACGCCACCGCTAATAAATTATTCTTTCAAAGGAACGCTCAGGGCACCAATATAACTAATGCATTTCATAGTTTTTGGACCTATTAATATCATGTTTTTTTGCATGCTCAAATCTTTATAACCACACCCCCTCACTCCAGAAAAAAAACCTTCCCAATCAAATGTGCATACACAGCTCAGCCATTAACCATACTGAATGATCTGAACTACAAAAACAACCAGCATTAAAGGAGAAGACACCCAAGGATGCAAATAGTCTGCAACAAGGTTGTGCTTTTGGGGCCGAGACTGTGTGCATAGATTTGATGATGTCATTCTGCATAACGAGGCAGGTTTATGTTGCAGCATTCTGTAAAACGTTTGTGTGTGTGCGCGCGCAAAAACTATTAAGATTTAAGCATGCAAACAAATCGAGCACGTTGAGGCTAAAATCAAATGCATTATAGTAGTACTGGTTCCAGGAATGTCCCTTTAACTTTCTACAAGACTGCGGTTACCTTATAGCCAATGGCTCCCATTAAACAGAAATGTAAATGATGATATCCGGTACAAGACCATTACTAAACTAAAAAAGGCAGCCATTAAGGACCCATGGAGTGTAATGAGAACACCCACAGGGTTATTCATTAAATTGTGAATTTCATATTTGAGGCCTACATAGACAAACTGGACAAATGCTCCAATTCAGCTACTGTGGCCTTAAATTTGAAATTCATTTTGAATCTTGCCAGAATTATTAACTGTATCGTACTCTACATATTACTCCTAACAGACACGTGTGTTTAATCAAGGTATGACGTTTAATTCATAGTTTACCAGCCATATAGTAGGTTGTTTTTTTTTTTTTTTTAATAGTTTTGTACCACAATTTAATCAAAGCACTGCATTTAGTACACAATGTACCTATTAACATATATACTGTTTTATCCCCTTCTCAAGTACTCTCTTTGCATTAAAAGTGGAGAAGTCTACTAACAGGCCTCTGCTTCACCAGCAGATGGCTCTGGTTGGTTAGAGTCATCTATTAAACCACTACTTGGTTATCAAACAATAGACAGTATTAAAAGGTTTCCTTGGTGGAGTTCCTGTGCCAGGACACCTAGTACAATCTATTCATCAGCTCACCACTTGAAGATTTTCAGATATTTATTCCAGTATCACACACAAAAGTGGCCACAGCACTGTCTGGTGCCTTTATTGATAAAGAGGTTAAATAGATATGATTAATCCAAGGTGGTCACGGCCATAAGACTTGATGCTAGCACTGTGATTGCTTACTTTGAATACATCACATGATTTGACTCTCCTTTAGATGCTTGTATGGTACACTAGCTTAACGACGGCTTGAGAAAGGCACCAGAGCCTGCCAACCCATTGACTTTTGTGTTTTATGGATAAATAAAGCTTGACATAAAAAAACAATTCAAGTGGTGGGATGAGGAATCTTTATTTCAAGCAGGGAGTGTGAAACTGCAAGTGTTACTGTCATTCAAAATAAAGATCGAAACACCAGAAGGGGTATTTATTTACAAAAAGGACATATAGATGGAATACAGTTTAAAAAAAAAAAAAAGTAATTTCTTCAAGATATTCATTTTAAAAATGGAAAATAATTTAGTTTGGATTACGTGCTGAATAAATCCAGGCTGGCTCCAAGAACAAATGGATACATGTTTGTAAAAGCCTTTTTCCAAGATTTGCGGCCCAAACAGGTAATGACTTTGAAATGCGTTTCTGTTTTGGTATTTTTAAAACGGCAACTCTTCAGACTTGTTTAACGAAGAAAGCATGTATGGATGACAGAAAATGAGACCTACGTCAGGAGAGCTTAATTCTCAGTCCTTGGCAAAGAGATTCTCGCTCAGGTGAGATTAGGAGGTGCCCACAGGGACACAATCCATGCTATTTGTTGGCACTCCAAATACATGTCCCAGCTCATGATCAAGGTATTATATTACTGAATAAAAAAAAGAAAATACAGTGTTCTAACTTTATCCTATAACGCCTTCGAACAATGATCATGAGAGAGCCTCGATTTCATCATGTGACTGTTGCGCAAGCACAAAACAGAGTACTCTCACTGATGCTTTCCCCCCCACCCTGTAGATTGTCACATGACCAGTCAGCAACGAGTATTTCAATCATCTGGCACTTGCCGAGACACCCATAATGCAACAGTGCCTTCCCATTTACATACCACCCCTTAAAAACATCCTAACCAGCTTGATCTTGAATCCACAGTAATAATTTAAAAAGTAAGAAAAACAAGAAAGGAGCAGTTATATAAACTGGGACAGATTTCAGCTTTAAAGTAAAAACCCGCACTTGAAAATCAGAATACCAAAAAGGTTAAAATTCAGTTATATAGAATTCGTTGCCCGTCCATTACATTCTGAATGAGGATGACAGTTTTGTTATGGTTCCCTGATGGTGGGAGTCTTGGCGGAGGGGTTTTGGCTCTGCCTTGTGCTAGGTTTGCTGCGGAGAATCATGCAGTTAGTCGATTTTCACCGCGGCATAGATCTTTCGGATAAACATGTAAGCGGCGTAGAAGCCAATGGTCCCGGTGAGCAGCCAGAACGATAAGACCATCAGCGCCGTGTAACCAAAGTACAAAAGGGACGGAATAAACTCAACTATATCCAACTGCAAAAGACAAAGAGGATTAGACTAGTAACAGGTAAAGTACATCGTATTGCTGCTGACAAAACCATGGAGCAGGGATTTGTACCTTATTCACAAAGTAGAAAATGGCGTAAATCAAAACATAAAATGCGGATCCGCCGGACACAAGGAACGTTCTCCACCACCAACGATAATCCTGCAAAGTCAATTACAACATATCAGTGTATTCTTATGCATGCATTCTCTGAGATGTTTCTGGTTGTTTCTTTTTATCTTTACTGTCCCTTTGCAGCATACAGCTCCCCTCAATACAGAATACCATATCCTTTTACAGGAGTAGGTTTATGGAGAGGAGGCATTCTGCATCCCTTTCTGTTTTTCTTGAATGTCTCAGCTACAGTCAGTGAAAGTCTGTTCCCCTTTCAATACGCGCCTGTTGCCAGTCACCCTGGCCATTTTGCACAGGTAGAGATTTCCTGTCTGTCTTTTTGAGCACATTAACTGTAATCAAGGTCAATCGATAAAGCCAGCCCAACCAGATTCACAATACTCACCTCCGCACACAGCTGGAAGTACACCATGACAATGCTGATTTGAGAACAAGACACTACGAGGATGATAAATACCAGAAACAGGAATCCAAACAGATAGTAGAACTGGTTCTCCCAAATGGCCTGAACCACAAAAGAATATATATATTAAACATTTTTATATATTAAAAAAAAAAAAAAAAAAAAAAGGTTATCAGGAAGCAATGCATTGATCACGTATGTGAGTGAAGGAGAGGATAGTAGTTGACAACACAGCTAGATGATGCAAAGCGAGGAATCTCCATTTGAAAAATGTATTTACTAGAATAGATGGAGTGAAAGTTACCCATAAATAAACTATCTGAAACTTACACTGAAAATAAAGAACAGTTCGATGAACATTGCTCCAAACGGCAGGATTCCGGCCATCAGGATCCTACAAGGAAACAAAATGACAACACCTGTTTTAGACATTGCACAGCAAGAGAAGCAGGCTCATACAACACACACAGCTTACAGTGCAAAACACACAATTCAGACAAAGTTCGAATACATCACTGCTGGGAACAAACAAAAGTAGAACATGACCTTGTGATCCGTTAAATAATTCGATGACTCACCCCACAAACCGTTTCATATACCAGCGTTGCTCTGGGATCTGCCTCGGGATCTGGTTTGTCCGGACGGGATTATCATAAGGCTGCTTGCGGAACCCAAAGTAATAACCGAGATACACCAGAGGTAAGGAAATCCCAAACCACATGCACAGCAAGGCCAGCATTGTAGGGAACGGCACCTGGAAGGAGGGAGAGACAAGTTGGCACGCAGCACAGGGTCACATACCACATTATAGGAGTTTGTTTTGAATGCAGTACTTACTGCTCCAGACGAATGCTTCCCCCAAATGAAACAGTTCAGGATGAAGCAGATTCCAAACACCACTCCGGGGTAAAGCATTGCAGTCTGAAATTACAAGGAGTCTCGTCATCAGCCCTTCAAATCCACAATTACCCGTTAGAAAAGCAGAAAATAAACCGCTCTTGTTAACACTGAAATATAACGGATCTCCTCTGTCAACGTCTTATCTCAGCAGTTAAGTTTATTTTACTCAGAAACCCCAGACTTACACAAAATGCTCCTTTGCGCCATCGGTGACCTTTTAGTGTCCGATAGAGCCTGCCAGCAAAAAAACCACCAAACACTCTGTGAAGACAAGAGCAGAATATGATTTGTAGGAGACAGGCAGGAAAACAGCCCAAACCAAAAACACGAAGACAAACACAAGAGATATCCTCACCCCATGAACATGAAGAGGAAGCAAGCCGTGGTCATCAGAGCTCCTCTACTGGATGGTGACAGCATACCCAGCATGGCCACAACTGCAGACAGTGTACATATTATAAAACTATTTACACTTTCATCACGTGTGCTTTTTAAAAATACAAAGATCTATCTATTTAAAACCACTAATAACTTGCTGCTGTCAGAGATTGATTTTCAATATTGAACCGTAGTAGACACCATGGTGTATTCGCATCCTATCCCATGCACTGGCACAAAAGCAATGTTTATTTTCAATATTTTGTATTCTAGAACCGTTGAGGAAAATTATCTTCCGGAGCTGCTCTCTTCAGATATGCAGATTCTGTACATTTGAATGAGTCTATATTTAAATTCACAGACAGACAAGAGTCCACTGAACTGAGACTTTTTAAAACCAAGTATGCTACAAAAAAAAAAACCCCAAAAAAACACTACTCACATATGACAATAAGGACCATGCAGAAGAGCTGAATGCCAGACCCAAGGAGTGAGCTAAGGATCATGGGATACTGGGGGGGCCGGAACACATCCCCATGCACTAGTTTCCAGCCAGATTCTTCCATTGTATCTTCCTGAAGGGGGAAACCAAGCAGACAGTAAGTGAAATAGGGATATGTGCAAACAGGCAACAAGCACAGACATAGTGTCAGTGGTACCACGCACAATGTCATCCTCCTTGTTGTAGTTTGCAATGTCCTTCCTCAGAGTTCTGATAATGATCATGCTCAGAATACCTGGGAAACAACACATGATTACTGTCCATTTCTATCAGAACTCCCTCAGACCTGAGTAATCAACCACTTCCGCTGCATACCTGAAAGGAAGAACACAACAACCACAGAATTGATGATGGAGAACCAGTGAATCTGAACATCGCTCATGGTAAGGTAGATGTCCCAGCGGGAGGCCCATTTAATGTCACTTTCCTGCAGAGAGATCAATAGAGTGGTTTTAAGCACAGATAGGATTACCCACAAGCCCCTGAGCCCAATGTAACACAAACTGGATGCAGGGTTACCTTCCACTGCACAGAGTATGTGAAGAGCAGCTTGTTTTCCTTGGCGGGGTCGATCTCCTGGGGCACAGAGTTGGAGCTTTCAGGAACCATGCAAGACCCATCCTCTGTACCTTTCAGATCTGCAGGAGATGGTGAACAAAGTCAAATTAGCCAGAAAGCAGAACCTTTCATTGTAACCCTTGTGTTACTGGATAAGTGCAGGAGCATATTCAAATTATTTGGCTGCACTAATTCTATGATCAAAGATATCTCTGGCCAGGGTTTAACATTTCCAGCAACCCTCTTGGCATGCAGAAATAAAGCTCAGCAAGTGTGCCACTTGCATGAGTCGTTCCCCCTCTCCCCCCCTTACATTCAGTTAGGCACGCTCCATACACCTTTACCATGAAGTAAAAGAACATTTTTTACATTTAGTGAGACACAAAGGTGTTCTTACCCCACAGCACAAATCTCTCTCCCTGCTGACTCACTGCACAGTGCAAACAATAGGATGCAGTATTATCACTTAATCTGTGTCCTGTATCATGTCCCACTGCTCTCCATAAGGAATGGTTATTTTTGTTTGAGGAGGCTTTATGGTGGAGATAAACACAAAGACTCCATAACGTGAACTGTGCACATTTATTCAACCCCCTTCTCTGGAATCTTTAAATATTTTGGCTCGGTATAGGTCTCAGAGACCCTTCATTAGAGGACTGTAAAACCTATACCGTTTATTTTAAAGGAGCTGCAGACAATTGATTTTTTTGTGTGCAATCTTGGTGATTTGTCATATAACCATACAACCTCCAGCAGGCTGCTCACCCACCTGTAGAACAGACAAACCCACTTTAAGCCATACTTCTATATATTTGCCCCCCTGCAACATCACTGTTTTCAGTTCTGACTTCCAGTCCTCTTTAATGTGGATTGTGTATTTGTATATTTTTCAAGACACCGATCTCGTGGTGTTACAACCGGCTTGCTCCAAAACACAGGGTTACTCGCCAAAGTAAGAATTTAAAGTGAATTTCAAATTCAAGGTAAAAATAGCCGATCTGGAAACACTCGCAGATTTACGCTATGCTCCAAGATCAGCTACTCTGGCCTTAAATGAGAAATTCACTTTGAATTCTCACTTTGGTAATAACCCTGCTAGAACACCCGATTTTCTTCGTCCCCCTTACCTTCCATTCTGATGCTCTGAGGAATTACTTCAAATCTCACGACCCTGAAAGTGGGCTCCTGATTTTCCTCCACCACTTCTCGATGATAATGTAAAAAGAAGGACAGGTGATTGTGCAGGTAGAACTGCAAGAGAAAAATAAATACACACAAAACAATTTACTACAAATAATCTTTACTCTGGAAATCAATCATTTCTTAGAATTCCATCAGTTTTTGAGATGATAGCTGCCGTGGTCACTGGTGTGATAATTTAGCTAGAGCCAATGACAGGCAAAGTAAAACCCAGACAGTATTTTGCAAAGATTTTACATTTAAATTGAATGTTATCACACTTAAATGTAATCATTGTCTTTAGGAAGCAGTCTAAGCACACTGTAGTGGTTATGGTGGCATTATTAAAAGTCACTTATCTGGGTCCCCGAGGCACGCTCAGTCAACTTCAAGAGTTTGTTAAGTGTAGGTCCCCCCTCAGCATAAGCAGAATTATTTTGTCTGTTTTTCCAACGCAATTCATTGCTTGAGAGCACACGCTATGTAGTTGTCATAGTTATCCTCTAGCGAGGACATGTCGTGTTTTGTCATGTGTATAGAAATGAAGTGACTTGCAATGAAACCAGTGTGTTGGAGCCAGTGGAGAGAGCTGCAGAGTGTTGGGAGGAAGGATATTCTAGTGGGCTGGTTGCATAATTTCACATTTAATTGCATTTATGCTGTTGATGATCGTAAGGTTCATCCAAGAACCATAAACACTTGTGTTACTGCAAAAGGCATGGGGCTCAGCGCACGTTTGAGAGTAGCTTAGAACAGCAGCAATTTGTAAAAAGAATTGCTGCCACTTTAAGACAGCCTGAAATTCTTGGCTTTATGTTGCCAAATTGTCAATTCCGTTCTGATTATGTGTGCAGGAAAGCCGCTTTCCCCTGCAAGAAAAAAAATCAGCTGGATCCTGTGATGCACATGCGTGCTAGCACTCCTGCTACTCCTCCACAGCAAGGTCATGGAAGGTAAGTAAAACTAGTTTTACACTCATTATAGTTAGTGCATTCACTAAGCTTATGCACATGGGACATTTAGGGTTAAGTGAGGGTTCAAATTAGGGTTAGGTAAGTGATTCTAACCTCTCTCACACTCTATTCTTAACCTAACCCTTGTGGTAAGGGTTAAAATAAAGTGTGAAAAAGCACAATTTAGTGATATTCCCCTAATGTGAAATATCACTAAAAATGAACAAGTCCCTAACCCTAATTTGAACCCTAGCATTAACCCTAAATGTCCCATGTCCTAAGCTTAATGAATGCACTAACTATAATGAAAGTGTAAAACTAGTTTTACTTACCTTCCAGGACCTTGCTGTGGAGGAGTAGCAGGAGTGCTAGCATGCATGTGCAGCACAGGATCCAGCTGATTCCCCTCACCGGAAGTGACGGGGGTATAGCAATCTGATGGGGTATAGCAGAATGATAGAACACCGGCAGCACTCATGCAGGCCCAGACCATGACACTCCCACGACCATGTTTGACTGTAGGTAAGACACACTTGTCTTTGTACTCCTCACCTGGTTGCCGCCACACACGCTCAACACCATCTGAGCCAAATAAGTTTATCTTGGTCTCAATCGGACCACAGGACATGGTTCCAGTAATCCATGTCCTTAGTCTGCTTGTCTTCAGCAAACTGTTTGCGGGCTTTCTTGTACATCCTCTTTGGAAGAGGCTTCCTTCTGGGACGACAACCGTGCAGACCAATTTGATGCAGTGTGCGGCGTATGGTCTTAGCACGGACAGGCTGACCCTCCACCCAGTCAACCTCTGCAGCAATGCTGACAGCAATCATATGTCTATTTCCCAAAGACAACCTGGGTATGACGCTGAGCATGTGCACTCAACTTCTTTGGTCGACCATGGCAAGGCCTGTTCTGAGTGGAACATGTCCTGTGAAACCAATGTATGGTCCTGCCCACCGTGCTGCAGCTCAGTTTCAGGGTCTTGGCAATCTTCTTATAGCCTAGGTCATCTTCATGTAGAGCAACAATTCTTCTTTTTAGATCCTAAGAGAGTTCTTTGCCATGAGGTGCCATGTTGAACTTCCGGTGACCAGTATTAGAGTGTGAGCAATAACACCAAATTTAACACACCTGGAAATCTCCCGCAAACTACTATACAGATGGTACTTGGTCCCAACAAGACTCAAATACAGCTACCCGAACGTATCAGATAAATGCTGGCGGTGCCTAGGGGTCCGAGGCACCTTGCTGCACATATGGTGGCAGTGTCCGCTACTGCAAAACTACTGGTCACAAGTCCTAGACCTAATAACGAGTTGCACCAAACTGCATATCTCCCTCCTGCCGGAAGTATTCCTGCTACTACTACTCCCTCCAACACGGCACATGCACACTAAATACCTACTATACCATATATGTATAGCAGCCCTCACTACCATTAGTAGAAATTGGAAACAAACTACGGCACCAACGATCAACCAATGCATCACAGCTGTAGAAGCGTCCAAAACTTATGAAACAATGGTAAGGAAAACAAGCCAGACCAGCCCTTATTGGACAGAAGCGTGGAATCTTTGGGACCGAAACAAACCACACTGAACCAACGACAACAGAAACCCTCATATGGATAAACAATCTCTACGACTGGAGGCAACCTAACAACATGCAAGCTGGCTCACGTACACACCGCACCTACATCACACTTGCATAACACCTCCGCACACTGCACCCACACTACACTTATGTGACTCCAAGTACACCGCACGACTCAATACCCCTCCGCAACCCGACCCCCCTGATTCCCCCACAGGTCCAACACCAGCACAGTGGACAGTATTAACTCCTAAACCCAATCGAGCTCGAACCACCGAGGACAGACACCGCCCACAAACAACACACAAAGCTCATCTTGCACTGAGAACCAAGATATCATAACCACTGGTGTTACCCGAATGAGCCCATAGCAGGTAATGGTGTTAACCTGCGCAGTGATTCAATACAGTTGACAAATCTTATGTATAGACTTCTGTATAACCCCCCTGTGTCTCCCTCTTGCCTCCTGTAACCCTTACTCTCGATTACAAAATAAAAATGGTCAAATTAAAAAAAAATATGGTATATGTTCTTAACAGATTTTCAACCCTAATCCAAAAATATTAGATCATTTGGAACGTTTAAATCAAGGCCTAAGCGAGTCCATTAGGTTATATATTATTGATAAGATCCTGGTATCACTGGAAGGGGGTGATCCTAACTAGCAGGGAGCATATCCGTCTCGGAAAATAATAGGTAAAGACGGACAATGGCACAAGCAAGCAACCACTGAGTGTTCATTGGGAGCAAACTGAGATGTTGGACTGTAGAATACATTTAAAAGTTATTCTGATCAAATACGGTGCTAAAGGTCAAAGTTAGCTCAGATCTGGTCAGGGTGTGACTAGTGATTGGAAAATCAACACCGTTTAAAAGTTTCCAAGTACCTGAGTTTCCAGAATCAGGAACATGAAATGTCATTACAACCAGCGTGGAGTAAACCAGGTATTTACCTTGTTGTTGTCTGTAAATCCCAGTCTGTATCCATGCTCAAATGTGACATCTCGTTCTTTCTTCTTGTCGTCATCATCGTGGTTAAGATATAGGTCCAGCCTGGTCGCCACAGGAAGGTTATCCGCAATCCTGGACAGAGGAAGAGGTGGATCAAGGGTCAACGCCTACAGTTTAAATTCATATCAAACCGAGTAAAATGCTAACATAGAACAATAACCTATGGCCATGGATTTAATAGAGAAATTAAAAAAAAAAATATGTACATCTTGCTTTGTTTTAGTGTTGTCATTCAGTCCCTAATGCTTTCACGAATCCATTTAAAAAGTCACATAAACGTTCCCTAACCGTGGATCTAGGCCTAAGAATTAAGGAGACACTAAAGAGTGAATGCAGATTTGTTATCCATTATAGCAATTATGGATTTAAAAAATTTTTTGCACTCCACTATCCAAATACAAAATAAATAAAAATCACTGTTTAGTAGTTATACTCCCAATGAAAACTTGCATGCTTTAAATAATGTATTTTTTCATTGATGGTATATCTAAAAACAGCTTGCAAAAGTTGCAGAAAGCTTGTCTGCAGCCTTTTGAAGGCCTCCCCTTCTAACTCCGCTCAGACTTTCTGTGGCTGCCCAATGCAGCTCAATGAGAAGTCATTGCAAGACCAGTGCTCTGGGTAATTGCTGACTCTTGAACTCTGTGTAAATGAGTTAACCAAACCAGGAAGTAACAGGACCTTTTATCTGCTTGAAAAGCCAGGGGAATAACCAGTATAATTTATAAAAGAGTGCAGATTTCAATAGAAATGAAAATTTTGCAACATAAAAACATAATTCACACACAAACCTTTTCAGCAAACTAAAGTGCTTTAGTGGTCTGGAGTGTCCCTTTAAATAGGGAAGCTGTGACTAAGTTCAAATACGAAATTTATCCCAGTTTTAACTCTTTGGACGGTTTGCTAAATACCACATTACTTGATACTGTTATGTCAAGGGTTTATATTTTTTTCGGTTGTATGAAGCTTCGGGATACTTCTCCCTGTATCATGAGCTCCAATATAACAAGTCTTTCAGCCAAACTCCAGTTCTGAATCCCATATTCTGCTTTGCTTACAGCAATATGCAATCTGACAGCAGCCATGCACGTTCATTAGACTGCACACATTAAGTACAGGGAATATGGAGGGTGGGGGTGATTAATGCAACTTACAGGTGAACGTAATACTCTTCTCGTATGCGTTCTGCCACCAGCTTGCTGTCCTCCACTTTGAGCAATGTTGGCTTGCTAGGAGAGCCACACAGAATCTCACACTTCTTATTACTGTTCATAAGAACCTTGAATGGTGTGTTCACAATCCGATCTCCTCTAAGAACCTCACCTACGAGAGCAAGACTTGTGATCACAATCGGAGCACGCAGAATAAGAGAGATTGCACAAACAGTGTATTTAGAATGAGTCTAGAAGCTTTACTTTATCATTCTTTAACATGATTTTACTTATTTAACTCCATGAGGACAAATAACTATCGATGTTGTATCTACCAGGCAGTCACTAGAGGCACTTCCTATGGAGATGGAGTCCGTGAAATGACGCTGGACATCCTCACGCTTTGTATGAGTACATTCAGCGTCAAACAAAAATCTCACAGAAAATCACAGAGTCAACCTCCCAACCTAACAATGGCAAAAAGATTTTCATTCATATTATGTAAAATTAAATATTTTTTTCATCCTATAGAACATGCACTCAGTATTGATCCATACATACCGAAGGTTATACAGAACATACAGCTCACATGATGATTAGGTCATAATGTCACTTCCTGCATTTGAAATATAAAATGATGTTTACATTTCAAATGACAGTCAAGTGACCTGTATGTGCAGTGCAAGCTTGGGAATTTATTGAGCAATACCGAGTCCATATTACCTAGTTATGTAGGCTGAAAAAAGAATTATGTCCATCAAGTTTTGCCTCACATCATCGTTGATCCAAAAGAAGAAAATAAATAAATTAAAAAACTGTGTAAGGCAAAAAAATCCTCCTCAACCCAGAATGGCAGTCAGATCTCTCCTTGGATTAAGAAGCGGTTACCCAATATATAAAAAAATGATATCCCTCAATATTGTGGTTTTTCTTTTGCAAGAATGAATCCAGTTGTTGTTTAAATATCTGTACTCAGATTAAACCACATCTTCAGCCAGAGAAATTCTACATCCTAACTGTTCTTACTGTAAGGAAGCTTTTCCTTTGTCTCAGACTAAATGTCCTTTTTTTCCCCCTCAGTCTAAATGCGTGAGCTTGCGTCCTATGTATACTCCTGCTTATGCATAGATTTCCAGACAATGGTTTGTATTTGCCCCTCGAATGGATGAATGAAAATGCCCTTCAAAGTGTATTTGTCACGACGGGAAATTCTTAATAGAAATGTCCTATAAAATATTAAAATGGACTATAAATTTTGAAGGGGTAAAAACCTACTAAAATAGTTCTTATTTATTACAAGAACCCCCAAAAAATGGACTACCCCTTCCTCACTTTTTTTTCTCTTCTCTCTCATTTCTTTCCCTTTTCCACATTCCTCATGGATAAAAAGAAATTTTCTCTTGAACCTTGTTATAGGGGGCACCCATTCCTCCATCGATCGGAACACTGTATCATTCTGCATACGTGAGAGATGGACTCCCGTACTGGCTAGAAAACACAGATCTTAAATACTGCTAAGCTTTGTACTACTTTGGCTTCTCCTAGAGAAATTCTACCCACCAATACATCTGTTTTGTTAATTTTCTGTCATATGTCTCTCTTTGACTGTTTACTATGACACAAAGTTTTGGAAAAAACTAAATAAAATCAGGTAATGGCATACAAAGAATAAACATCATAAAAAACAACTAACATATAAACTACAGAAAGATAAGAAACTCTAAATTTCCATAATTAACACTCCCACACCGACACTCCATATGCTTCACCGTGTCATCATGCCCCACCACACTCACCCAAATTCTCTGCTTTGTATGTTACTTCCTTGGGTTTGCAAAAAGGCAATGAGTAGTATTCATATGGCAGCTGTGTGCGGGAACTAGTGAGTTTCACAGCCTGTAATAAAAACAAAATTCTCATCAATAATAAGTAACTGTTAACCACAAAGCTATATTCCTACATTAACCTCATCGCACCTTAATATCCACAGGAGAATTCTGCCGAAAATTCATCGGAGCCACCCCTGGCACGTAGAAGCAGTTGATCCCATGGATTAATGAGAGACAGAGGAGCAGCCCCACACACCTCCCCTGCAAGACAAAGAAATGTAAAGTTAGGAATAAGGACCTAATACCGATACTACCTGCAATCTACAACAGGAATTACAAACCGAGCCTCGTAGGGCCAGAGTCAAAGTAAGATTTACCATACTGCTCAATTATCCACAATGATAAAACATGAACATCCGTAATATGAGCAGCAAGGATTGGAGACTACTTTGTGTTTAGGAGTCAGGGCATGAGTCAATCCACGGTGCCCAATTTAACCAATAGGAATGTTCTTACAAGGTGTGGGTCCTTGGGGATTTCCAATACTTTGTGTGCAATGTTCGGCCACTAATTTGGACAACCTTGTCCTTAAGTGCCATGTTACACGGATCGCAGGGGATTTCTTACATACTCCGGTTACACAATCACCGAGAAACCATTTCAACTGCTCATTTGGGATTTCCAAAAAGGTTTTATTAAAACAGAATATCAAACCACAGGGTATCGTAATGCTACCAATTTTAGTGACATGTGGTGCTATCCAACCTTTTAGCAAGTGTGTAGATATCAAATTATTTTAACAAAATGTAACAAGTTACGTTAAATTCTCACAAAGACCTACCCTGCATAGAAATAATAAAATATATGCAGCCATAAAAGGAAGCTAGCGACTGCGCACATATATACGAATTGTACGTCATATGAAGGTGGACTGCTGTGTGTATAGCCACTTGTACCAACAGCCGAATGGAAGAGCCGATCTGAATAAAATTAGCCTAATTTGTGAAACCTAATTTGGCTCTTAGTGAATAGACCCTAATGACATTATACAGACAAAGCCTATTCCCACTAGACCCTGCAGCATACGGATTACACAGTTCCTTTAAGTATTCTTCTTTGTAAAGTGCATGGCATCATTTATTTGGAAAGAAGAGCCCTCAAGGGATTTAAGAGTGTGCTTTTATTGTTGCATAGCAGAAAATCAATGTATGCATACACAGAAATTCAGGCCTGGCAGTAGTTTATGGATAACAATATAGAATAAAGATTAGTGTCATTATACTAAATAAAACAACATTCTGTAGAGATTGTATAAATCTGCAAATCACCTACTAGCCTTCCCCAAACACAGACACCAGCAGGGAGCTCGCCTATAGAGCAATCTAGCTAATTCTCCAAATAGACGGACAGATTTATACAGGAGAGAGATCACCGGAAAGTTTCTCTCTCCTCGTCATACATGAAGATGTGCAAAGACTTAATACAAGTGTTAATCAATTTAATATTGTATTGGTCTCCTAACTTCATTATTAACATTTAGATTAGAATTGGTTGCTAAGTATTGCTAAAAAGTTAAACAATATAGGGGCAGGAACACAAACATGTATTATGGACTCTATAGTGTTATAAAAATATATATATATAATATCTTACTTGTATACAAATCTGTAGCTGCTGTCTCTGCCTTTGATCTGCCTGCTTGGCTCAGAGAATCACTTCTGATATCAGCCAATCACAATGCTTTCATATAGGATTAGCTGAGACGGACAAGGAGGCAGATCAGGGGCAGAATCAGCACATAGAAACATAGAATGCTTAAACTCCTTTACTGTGTTAACCTCTACCACTTCAGCTGGAAGGCTATTCCATGCATCCACTACCCTCTCAGTAAAGTAATACTTCCTGATATTATTTTTAAACCTTTGTCCCTCTAATTTAAGACTATGTCCTCTTGTTGTGGTAGTTTTTCTTCTTTTAAATATAGTCTCCTCATTTACTGTGTTGATTCCCTTATATATTTAAATGTTTCTATCATATCCCCCCTTCTCGTCTTTCCTCCAAGCTATACATGTTAAGATCCTTTAACCTTTACTGGTAAGTTTTATCCCGCAATCCATGAACCAGTTTAGTAGCCCTTCTCTGAACCCTCTCTAAGGTATCAATATCCTTCTGAAGATACGGTCTCCAGTACTGTGTACAATACTCCAAGTGAGGTCTCACCAGTGTTCTGTACAATTCAAACACAGCCCTGGCCAATCAGCATCTCCTCATAGAGATGAATTGAATCAATGAATCTATTTGAGGAAAGTTCAGTGTCTGCATGCAGAGGGTGGAGACACTGAATGGCAGTCACACTGTGCAGCACTGCCCCAGGAAGCACCTCTAGCAGCCATCTGAGGAGTGGCCAGTGAAGTTATCACTAGGCTGTAATGTAAACACTGCATTTTCTCTGAAAAGACAGTGTTTACAGCAAAAAGCCTGAATCGAATAATTATACTCACAAGATCAAATTGTTTCATAAGAGACATTCGTCCATCAATAAAATGAAATAATATGTAGTTGTTCTGGTGACTATACTGTCCTTTTAATACCATTTACCACTATCTCAGTATTACAGTGGATGAGAGAAAATATAGGAGGAGGACATTTTAAAGGGCCCACCCAGGTATATACTGGACACCAACCCAACTAAAGTGCCCTTGATAGTTTGGGGCATTATATTCATAGTGCGTTTGTGTCAATGTTCAAATTTCTATAGTATTACTACAACCCATGAGCCACACCCCTTCTCTTTTCACAAAAGAATTTCCTTATAAGACTTACTTTGAGTGTGTACTCAGCTAAGCTAATAAGATCAAGCTGCTGATAGGACTTCACCCCACCACCAATCACTGTCCTTTTATTATCTGCCCCATGGCTTGGATACAAGATACATAATAGGGACACTGTGATTGGCTGTGGGATGGGACCATACGAGAAGCTCAGCTCACAAAGTTCTCTCATTGGCTGAGCTACACAGCTTACCTTCTAATCAGGAAGACATTTAGTGAAAGGGAGAGGTATGGCTAAGGTGGGTTATGCTGCAGACAGCCGCACATTTCTATCTATTTATTTTCAGCAAAACTAAAAGCAGGATGACCATGAAGTTAAAACATATCAGATACATTTAAGTAGTGTTGGTGCTGGAGTGATCCATTAAAGTGGCGAGTATCTTTTAGGCAAGGCTTGTACTGACAGCTCACAATGTTGTCTTTTTATTTTTTTGTTTTTTTAATATAGAACTGAAAAAGTACAGACAGACGTGCTTCTGGACTCTTGAAGCGGATAATAGATGCAATAACTCCAAAATGGCAGAGAATTGAGCAGTGAGACTTCAGGGACATGATCTACACAACCAAACTGCTTCATTAAAGGGACTCTCCATGCACCAAAACAACATCATCAAAATGAAGTTGTTATGGTGCCTGGAGGCCCTAGAGGCACTCTTACCTCAAGGGGTTAAACCATTCTCGAACAGCTTAACTCCTAAGATGCCTCCAGTGGCGATCTCCACTTTGGATTTTCAAATTCAGGAAGAGCAGATTGCTGACAATCAGTGCCAATCATTGACTCCCCATTCACTAAACTAGCATGGAATTAAAACGTACTTTTCTCAAGCCAGTTTACTGAATGGGGAGTCACTAATCGGCTGAGAGTGTCAGCTGACGGCTCTCAGCGGTGCCCGGGCCAATCAGAGCACTATACACAGACAATTCTTCGGTAGGAAAATGTACAATATGATCAATTTGTGTATTTAGCTCAGCTAGCCAATCTCACAGTTAGGTAGTATTAAGTGTGAATAGGGTACCCAATTTCTGCATTTGACCTGTTTTAATTAGGGATGTATAAAGTCTGATCTAAGCACAGGAACAACCGCAAATAGAATAAACACAAAATTCATGTAATGTAAGGCTCATTGCTATTTAATAATATAATATTAGATTTTCTCATAGTTATTGCTATATGTAGTTCTGGCCCCACTGTTTATGTATTTTCATACAGTTTAGACATTACTTACGGTATAGATAGCTATATGCAGATTACTACATTTAGTATTACTATATACAATATTATTTTATGTCCAGCTTTGAATTCAACATTACAGTTTAGATCTCTAGATTGAAGCATGATTTACAATACTTCATTGTGTTGGATATAGTATAGACATGTACAATGTAATTTTTCTCATTGTTCTCTACATTTTCCAGTACCATTTCTAGCCTATTATTGTATGTACATGCAGTATAAATATTTACAATATACCGTATATTAGAACATTTAGTATTACTATATACTGCTTACTTAGGGATCAAAACTTTACATCTTCCACTAGCTACTGTCGAGTGACAATTTAGCTGTGACAAGTATAGACATGAAGTGGCAAGTAACTTTTAAAGCCTTGCTAATAGCATAGATCTTTGTGTTCGAAGCCCTAAAACACACTATATACAGCATATTACACTTAGTTATACTATACACAGCGCAGTATGTCACAATTCTATATATATAATATATAAAAATATATATATATATATATATATATATATATATATATATATATAGTGTATTAGTGTTACTATAAACAGTACATTTCATTTTTCTATCACTATATACAGTAATACATGCTGTGTATTATTAGTTTGTTAGTACACATAGAATGTTACAGTGTATTTAGTGTCACTGTATTCACTATGATTAGAATGTCCCATTCAGTGTCACTGTATACACTGTGATTAGAATGTCCCATTCAGTGTCGCTGTATACGCTATGATTAGAATGTCCCATTCAGTGTGGCTGTATACACTATGATTAGAATGTCCCATTCAGTGTGGCTGTATACACTATGATTAGAATGTCCCATTCAGTGTGGCTGTATACACTATGATTAGAATGTCCCATTCAGTGTGGCTGTATACACTATGATTAGAATGTCCCATTCAGTGTGGCTGTATACACTATGATTAGAATGTCCCATTCCGTGTGGCTGTATACACTGTGATTAGAATGTTCCATTCCGTGTGGCTGTATACACTGTGATTAGAATGTCCCATTCAGTGTGGCTGTATACACTATGATTAGAATGTCCCATTCAGTGTGGCTGTATACACTGTGATTAGAATGTCCCATTCAGTGTGGCTGTATACACTGTGATTAGAATGTCCCATTCAGTGTGGCTGTATACACTGTGATTAGAATGTCCCATTCAGTGTGGCTGTATACACTGTGATTAGAATGTCCCATTCAGTGTGGCTGTATACACTGTGATTAGAATGTCCCATTCAGTGTGGCTGTATACACTGTGATTAGAATGTCCCATTCAGTGTGGCTGTATACACTGTGA